TTTTTGAAGAAGAAAAACTCCTGACTAGTTATAAGTATCCAACCTAGATATAAATAAGTACATAGTTATAGGAATTGCTACTAGAGAATCAAGTTGTAAGTGGCACTTGTGTTTGCATAATGTATATAGAGGTGTTTGCATAATAACTCCAAAATAAAGTCTTAGTCTTGTATGCTTTGTCGCACTTTTGGGGTTTTTTTGGAAGAAGATTTATTCTGTGGAAATTAGAATACTTTTTTCTGACCATTAGATAGTTTGTTTTTTGAGACATACTTTCAACATTCATTGTTGCTAAAGAAGTTGGTTTGGTAACAACTAAGGTGGATGACAGATGCAGTGAGTGCTTGTTGGTTTTATAATTTATGTTCTAGTTTCAGTTTTTGTATTCTCTCCCACGCCCTCTTTTCAACCAGTGATGTTGGTGTATGAGACTGAAGTTCTTCAGTGAACTGTAAGGCTATACTCTAAGATTGTATTTCCTCACCTGTATTTTGCACTTTTTACCCCAAACCAGCTGGGGAAAATGGAGGTGCACATTATATGCATGGAAGCAATCTCTTTAGGTCCAGAAATAAGGTGTGAGGAGGGAAGGGGCAGCGGAGGTGAAGCAGTGCCAATGTTCATTGTCACAGCTCTGGAAGCCGCAGCAGTCAATGCTGCCACTGCCCACTTCCCCTGAAACTTCCCGACCCCTGGAGAGGCCACTTCTCCAACCACACGCTGGATTGAGTTGGCATGCACAGGGTTGGTACATGGCAGGACTCAGCATGCCGAATCTAACCGGCATACAGCCCTGGACCTGGTGTGTTAGGTGTGATCTCACATGCCAGCTCCAGAGCCACCTGCTGGGTCTGACCCCATGCACTGCCTAGGACTCTGTTCTGGCTCTGTAGCTACCTGCTGGGTCTGACCCTGTGTGCTGCCTCTGGGGTTGTTTGCCAAGACTGAAACCATGTGCTGGCTCTGGAGCCATGTGCCTGGTCCTTCCGGGACTTGGTGCATAGTCCTGGGCTTGACATACAACCCTAGAGACAGCATGTGGGGTCAGCCTTAGCACACAGCTCTGGAGCTGGAGCGTGGTCCTGGATTCCATGCTGGATTCGACCTAACATGTGGCTCCAGAGCCAGCGTACAGGGTCAAGCTCTTCATGCAGCCCTGGACCAGCGTATTTGACTGGTGCGGAGGCCTAACTCATGCAGGGCTGGCACAAGACTTGGGAGCAGGCTTGGCTCCCTAGCTGCTGCTGTTTATCTACCTCAGTAGATTTCCCCCTCCCTCCCCCCCGCCCCTTCAGACTCCCTCCTAAAGAATGAAGGTGTGTGTGCATATGGGGGTGTGCTATATGCAAAAATATGGTATTTTCCAAGTTGTCTCAGGGCTTTGCGCAGAGAAATGAATGTGCAGGCAGCAAATGTGAGTTTCCAGGATGATCTTGAGACTTGCCTGTGTAAAAAGCACCCTCTGCCAGCAGACAGATGCCACTGCAGTAATGCTTACACATGAAGTCACTTGATTAGTTTCTGGTGACTGCGCAGTTCCTGCCAGTCATTGACACCACTATAGCAGGCGCTTTGCCAGCACAGCTAGTACAGCCTAGAAGGGACTAGTTGTTAAAAGGATTTACAGCATGGCTAGGGATGGAAGTTGCACAAAAAACGGTTTAAGTAATCAGAAACTGGCTTAAGCCTGTAACAGAACAGAAGTTCAGTGCACTTAAACCACTTACAAAATGGCCAAAACCAGTTTAAGATAAACCTGGTTGGATGAAATATCAAAATTAACTGATTTAGGTCAAACCGATTTATGGAACTTCTGTCCCAGACCCCTTGCTTCACATTCTCCCAGCATCCCAGGGTGCTTTGCAGCCCTGGGCTGGGCTGGGCTATCTGCTCCAGAGACCAGGGTTGGCTCTGCCTCTGCTTCCTAGCCAGAGCAGTGATACTACTCTGGTTAGCTTAGAAGAGGTGGGGGTGGGAAATCCAGCTTCAGACAGCAGCAGGGTCTGCCTGCCAGGGTGGAGCAGCCCATGCCAGGCCTTTCCCCCACTCAGCATTGGAATGGAGGAAGCAGGGTAGCCAGACCCTGGGGCCAGGCAGACAGGGAGAGGGGGCTTTAAGCCCCCTCTTGCTGCCCCGGGATTCCAGCCAGGGTCTGCCTGGCAGGGAGGCAGGAGTCCAGCCCAACACTGGCCAGGCTAGCACGCTGAGGGGGGAGGGAGGGGAGAGGTGGTTTAAACCCCACCCTTCACCCTGCAAGGGCCTCCAACCAGGGACTCCCTGGGAGTTGCGAAGCAGCCCCTGCCTGGCTTTTCAGCTGCTCCACACTTGAGCGGAGGGGCAGGGTTGTGGCCAGATGCTGGCCAGGCTGTCAGGCTGAGGTGGGGGCCAGGCAGTCCCTGGCTGAGGTTGCTTGTGGAGGGGAGAAGGGGGGTTTAAACTCACTCTCCCCCCACCCCGCCTCAGGCCACCCCCTATCTCAGCATGCCAGCCCAGAGCTGGGGCATGGCCATGCTGCCTGTCCTCTGCTCGAGGGGAAAAAACCCTGGTAAGAGCAGCCCTCTCCCCGTCTTGAGTGGGGAGCCATGGGGTGGGGGAAGAGGCAGAAGCGTGGCAGGGGCTGCTCCCCAGGGCAGAACCAGTAAGAGGGGTTTAAACCCCTCCTTCTCCACTGCTTGCCCCTCCCTGCTGCCCCCGCAAGGGACCCCAGCCAGGAACTGCTTGGCAGGGGCAAAGAAGCCAGGCTGGCAGGCTGAGGTGGGGTGGGGGGAGAGTGATTTGGGTGTGGGCATGCTCACAGGTCTCTGCTTGAGCAGGGGGTGAGTGCCTGACAGGGGCTGCTCCTCTGACCCCAAGGAAAACCCAGGCTGTGGTCCTGTGCAGCCAGGGAAGGCCTCCCTACCTCAGCCCGAGACTTGCTGGCTGGAGCATGGTCACCCCCACTTTGGGAGGGCAAAACCATGGCAGGGGCTTCTGCTCCAGTGGGGAGTGGAGAAAAAAAGCCTGGCAGGGTCTCTCCCTCCCCCCCCCCCCCCGCCCTTGTCCCCAGGCAGATTGGGGCTGGGGTCCTATGTAAGCTAGGGAGGGGGATGTGAAGCCCCCCTTCTGGTCTCAGTATGCTGACCCCAGGCTGGGGCTGGCCACGCCCCCTCCGCTTGAGCAGGGAGGGGAGGAAAGCCTTGAAGGGCTTCTGTCTTCCCTTCCCTTTGACAGTGGCAGGATGGAGTGCTGTAGTGCTCTCTAGCTTCTGGCCTGAGCCACTGCAGGCATGTGGCTGCATTTCTGGAATCAGAAGTGAATGTCTGTTCACTTGCTTATTGGTTCAGTCAACACAGTTTAGACTAGCCTGAAAAGATTGAATCGATTTAGCCTCTGGCTTTTTGACCATGTATACTTAGACCATGAAAGCACATGGCAGAAAGTATGAGCCCCATACATGAGCTGTGGCAGAAACTTTATGTCCCTTGCAGTGTTGGCATTGTTCTATCAGTAGAACAAAGGGTTTCTGCTGCCACAGGAGAGCTGCTATGAATATGGGCACAGTCAATGTTCTGCTGGCAGAACCTTCTGTTAGCAAAACTCAAAGTGTAGATAGACTAAGCCTTTATATAAGGGTGGGCAAAATGGTGGATCTCGCTGGCAGCTGGACTTTCCCAGCAGCCCCTGCCTGGGAGGGGGAGGGTTGGCAGGGGGGCTACAGTGAAATTTTGGGTGGCTGCAGCCCCCCACCACTGCTGCCTGCCCCGAGCTCAACCCCCACTGAGAAGAGCCCTGTGTAGCCCCGGCTCTAGCCGGCAGCTGCATCCCGCTTCACCCCACGCAGATCCAGGGGGCACACGCCCAACTCCCTTGCGCCCTGTGTCCTCCTGGGGTGCATGCAGCCACAGGTACCCTCCCACCCCCCCTGGATGAGCCATGGCTCTGTTCTGTGCCCCGCCCTGGCTGGGCAGCATCTGCCCCAGCACCTGCCCTACTCCCTCCCTCACAGGCGGGGGGGGCGGGTGTTGCTCTGGCTCCTCATGCCCCTTTCTTCCCCCTTATTCTACCACAACAGACTTACCAGTTGGATGCTGCTGTATTGGAAATTGGATCAGTATTGGCTGATACGCCTCCTTAAAAATTGGCTATCAGTATTGGCCCCCAAAATCTGTCGGTGCGCCCCTACCAACTTAATGTCAATTTTTCTTTTATTGGAGATGATCTGATACGCGACTGATATATTGGTACACCTCTACTTTCCAACTGTGTAGCAAGAACTTCATGGCCTGAGAAATAAAGGTAGCCTTGATGTCTTATGAAACTGAAATCAGTGCAGTTCTCTGGATTGGTAGTGGGCAAGTAGCGTGGGGTGCCAATAGAAATACCTTGGGGGGCCAGTTAGAGGTGCACCAATACATCTGTCCAATATCGGATCAGTACCAATATAAAGAAAATTGGAAATCGGCCCAATGGTGCCAGTAATTTGGCTCATAAATGCTCGTGCCTGTGCGCAGCCACTGCCCAGCACTCAGGCAGCGAGGTGCACAACCTAGCATCATAGAGAGCTGCCTCCAGCTGGAAAGTCTGTTGTGGTGGAAGGGGAGCGGGGAGAGAAGGTGTGTGTGTGGGGGGGGGTGGGGAGATCAACCCTTCTTCCCCCCACCCCCACCCCCCTGCAGTGAGGGAGGGGGCAGGGGCAGGTGCTGCTCAGCTGGGGTGTGGGCGTGGTGCTCATGGGGGAATGGGGCTTGGCTCCCACCGCTGCTTGCATCCTGGGATGATGAGGGGTGGGGTTGGGGGGGTGGGCAATGTGGGCTTTCCCATGCTTAAGTTGTTTAATGAAAGCATATTATCTATGAATAGATCTTTATAGCAACTAAAGGGATTTTATTTCACTGCTTTTTAGAGTTTTGAGAGCCATCTTTTTTAAGCTTAAGCTATATTATTGTCTTTATTGAAACCCTGAGGCTTATTCTTTTAAAATTATACTCATTCTATATATCTATATTAATAATCTTTATTAGGTTATCCTTGGAAAATACACTTGGCTCTCATATGATGACGTCTACATTAAAGCTGTTAATTTTGGAAATGGCTTAGGAATACTGGGGCAGCAACCAAAGTCAAACATTGCCATCTTCTGTGAGACTAGAGCGGAGTGGATGATTGCAGCTCAGGCCTGCTTTATGTACAACTATAGACGTAAGTACTCTTCTTAAGTGAACATGTCATTTTAATATCCTTTGATTTTTATAGCATGGTACAAAAATGCAAATATTCACAGAATGTTCTAAGAGTTTCTTTTTAATATATTTTATGACTGTATAGAATATATAATACTGAAAATGAAAAAAAGCTGTTGCACTAGGGTAAGTTGATTTTTACTTCTATTCTGTTACTTCACCTTAGGTGAATAAATCTGTGTCCTCCCTCTGTATCCTGGATCCTCCTATATACAGTCTCCTTTTGAGGCTAGTTCATACCCTGTTTATCTGTGAAAAATGTGTTGATAAAAAGCCTTCTTTTGTCTTTAGATCTGAATCTATATAGGCTTCGCCATCATTCTTCTGCAGTGAAATAAATAATGAAAAGTCCATAAGAATAAATTGACTTGTGTTTATCTGCACTTAACATGCTTTAGGTTTCTGGTGGGACATTTGTAACTCTTTTTTTGTCGCTTTTGGAAGCTTGATTTTGACATAGAGTTTGATTTTTACTGTTTTGGATCAGAACTGTGAATCTGAGATTTACCTAATTTTCTTTCTACCTTCATTATATAACCTATATTGCCATATCTTGACCTGTCAAATTGAGCTTCCCGTATTAAATAGAATGAACCAAATTTAAATAATCTGAACTTTAGTTATCTATGCTGTGTGGCTGGCCAGTTCTCCTAAACCCTGTTTATCTGCCTTAATTTTGTGTCTAATTTTTCTTATTCTATTTGAATAATACAACTATTTCTATTTTAACAATACTACTCCTTCATTTTAAACTATTCCTTTATTTCCAATTCACTTATCCAGGATTGAGCCAATATGTCCAGTTTAGGCAGAGCAGGTTTTTCTTCAAATTATTTTTTTTCAAGCACACTATATCATATGGTACAAGGAGAATCTGAGAAATCCTATTTGGGAACAAATGAGTGGTAAATAAGAAAAAAAATGGTAAAAAGAAGTTTATTGTATTTGGATGACATTATACTGCATTTATTGAAGGTCTGTATTTGCACCAAAGCTCTAGACCAGAGTCCCTGGAACAACCTGCAGCCATTCCAGAATGAAAACTTTCAGAAGCCGGCATAAGTCATTGTAGTTTCCTTGCTTACATCTTGTTTGTGGTTATGTAGGCATTATTGGTGCTGCATTTAAGGGCCTGTTTTACTTTAATTCTTCAAGGAAGTCCATGTCGGTTACTTTATGATGCTCCTTTAATTATGCTTTGTTTTATTTGAATGATTGTTGGAATATTTATTTAGATATGTGGGTATACTTGGTAAGTAGGATAAATAGGTAGAGCTCTTCTAGGGCAGTGGTTCACAACTTGTATGAATTAACAGTTTCTCACAGATCATTATATATATTTTTTTTCTTATAATTTGATAGGGTCTGGTAAAATATGTGGGCCAGTTAATGTAGCCTCACGGGCAACAGTTTGAGAACCCAGTTTGTGGTTTGAGTATGGAGCTAGATTGTTCTTAGTGGTGGCAGATGACAGAACAAAAAGTAATGGTCTCAAGTTGCAACAAGGGAAGTTTAGATTGGATATTAAGAAAAACTTTCTCACTAAGAGGGTAGTAAAACACTATGGAGCAGGTTACCCAGAGAGGTAATGAAAACTCTATCCTTGGAGGTTTATAAAACCTGGCTAGACAAAGTTTTGGCTGGGGTGATATAATTAGGGACGGTCCTGCTTTTGAGCAGGGGGTTGGACTAGATGATCTTCTGAGGTCCCTTCCAACTCTCATTTTCTAGGATTCTAACCACTGTTATAAGGAACTCGCAACGTGAGTCTAGCAACTACCTCCTTTTTCTGCCGTTTGACCACCTACCTCATTAATGCTCATACTCCTATACTGTTGTCTATTTTAATGCAACAATTTCTAGGAGATGTTCTTTTGGCTAAAGAACTAGTTTTCATTACGATGTATGGTCAAGTACTGAAACTCATTCTTTAAGGGATCTCATCCATTATGCAATCTCTGTAATTCTGCTTGGGTGTGATTTACTGGGCATAGATGAAATTCAGAGCTTTACTAGATACATTTTTATGGATCCCTGCCACGAGAGACTTCTGGATATCTCTTTTCAGGGAGAACCATTTTCTCTTCCCACTTGCGCTGTTAGCCTTGTCTTGTGATCATCCAAATCCAACTGTTCATTCAGTCAAGAGAGACCAGGATCAACATATTGAAACAAAGTGATCAGGAGTCTTGCATGTCTTTCTGTCCACCAGGCAAATAAAACATTCTGGTAGATGAGTCCTGAATGCTGTGTCCATAATGAGTCATCTCTGAAAGTTGCTATGATCAGGTTAGGGTTTCAGAAGTAGGGGAGCCCCTGAATAGATTTATTTTTCCAATAAACTTGTGCGTTGGATGATTTCTGCTTCTGTTGATGTCACTAGAATAATGGGGCATTTGTGGCTTTTTTTTCATTTATTTGGGGAGTATAAAAGCAGGATAAAATGGGTATTTTTTCACTGTCACACTTAAGGTTGGGAGACTTGTTGCTTATGAAAACAAAACCTCCTTATTTTCTAACACCTTTTCCATATCTCTTGTCTTGGAAGTAGGGTCAGATCATGCATTTGGAAGACTGGCAAATGTTACCCTGGTAGAAAAATGATTGTATTTATTCGCATACCACACAGCACCTTTTCCCCCCCAAAAAATTTAGCCCTCCAAAATTGGGTATATGTCTTATGTGGATAAGCTGACTTCTGCACTGGAGTAAAAGCATGAAAATGCACTAATGGCTGTCTGGGACTTTGCTTCTTTCCAGCCTGGTATTCAACAGGGGCGGAGTCTGTTTTTCAGTGTCAGAGCTAGAGTTTTAACCCTCTTGCAGCTGCTGCTGAATTGGCAGTAACTTTTGGCTGAGCAGCCAAAAAACTATGCCTTTTAAAATAGAGAATTTTCAGCCTGGGCTACCAGTAAAGAAAGATAGTATGGTGCAGTGGACAGGATTGCAGAGACTGTTTTTTGTTCTTGATTTGACTGACAACTTGCTCTCTTCCTTTGTTTCTGTGGGCTATGTTCCTTTTTTTCCTTCTCATCTGCTGTCTTATCTGCTTAGATTGTAAGCTCTGGAGGCAAACAGTTGCTTCGATACAAATTACATTTGATGCTCAATTTTGACTAAATTTGCTGATGACACTACCAAAAATCCATGTTCTGGCACACACACACACACACACTCTGTTTTTTTTTTTTTTTTTTTTTCAAAGTACTTGTGCTTTCAGTGACTTCAGTGGAAATCTGGGTGTTAATCAAGCCACTTGTCTAATAGAACAGAAAATTGCTGCTGCTGCAGATGCCTTGTTCCTTTTTATATTTGACTTGGGTTTTATGGAAGAGGAGTGTGGGTCAACTTGAAGTACAGTTACTAATGTAGCCCGGGTACACCCAAGGGTGTGCCCTATTCTCAGTTGAATGGGATGGGTAGGCAGGAAGGGGTGCTGTGAGAGGGATGCCAGAATTTTGAGCAGATCCCTCTTTCCTCTATAGCAGAGCTTTCCAAACTGTGTGCCGCGACACATTGGTGTGTCGGCGGCAGTGTGTAGGTGTGTCGTGTGAAATGCAGAAAATTTTGCGGAAGGGCACCGCGGAGCTCCCTTACTTGCGTCTGCTTCCCTTGGCCCCTCCCCCGGAACTGAATTACTGTGTCGCGAAATGATGCATGTCTAAAAAGTGTGTCGCCAACATGAAAAGTTTGGAAAGCTCTGCTCTATAGAGTTAGCCCAAGCCCAAAGTTCTTAGCTATATACAATTTGTTGAGTTATAATATACATAATCATAAGACTAAATATCATATACATATATTTACACAGTGAACATTAACCAATAACCAAGGTCAAATCCTAAATAACACTATTAACCCATCACAATAAAACAATTTCAGCAGCATCTTCACAATGCATTTCAATTGCAAAGTATAAAGTGCAAACAGGAACAATCTTAATAACACCTATTCCTTAATATAGTCCCTGAGCCATGGCAGGAGATAGTCCTCCTTCCAATGGGGGGTCCCTTATGGGGTGTCCAGGAAGAACCAGGGGCCTCTCCCCTTAGGGCCTTGACTAGGCGGGGGGGGCTGCTCCCCCAGCCCCTTATCTGGGCTAGCCCGCTTCAAACATCTTTCTGCTGTGGGACCCAAGGGCCCAGTGACTCACTCCCTCAGGTGGCAGTGGTCAGGGTGCAGCTCGATGCGGGTCTTCTCTGCCAGAGTGCCTCTCCAGGCATCTCATGCGCCGCTGGGCTCCTCCCCACCCTGTGCCCAACTCTGGGCACCGAGGGCTTAGCTCCTCTCGGCTGCTGCACCACTGCTGCTGGCTCCTGGGTGCTGGGCCTCACTCTGCAGCCCTACTATTTCCCCATGCCCTGGCTTGGCACTGAGGGCTCTTTTAGCACAGGCTGGGCCCTTCAGGCTATGGCCATCCATCCTTATGCTGGGTGGCTAACCCAAACAGTCTCCACTGCTCCCTGGCTTCACTCCCTCGTACATCGGTTGTGCACCTCCCTGCCTGGCCACCTGCCGGGGTTACTTGCAATGATGCCTGAGCTGCCCTGCCACAGCTTCCATGGCTTGGGCCCGTGCACCGCCTTGTACACCATGTGGCCTGCTGGCCCTCCGGGGTTGCAGGCTTGAGCCACCGCTTGCAGCTCCCAATCTCCACTGCTCCCTGGCTTCACTCCCTCGTACATCGGTTGTGCACCTCCCTGCCTGGCCACCTGCCGGGGTTACTTGCAATGATGCCTGAGCTGCCCTGCCACAGCTTCCATGGCTTGGGCCCGTGCACCGCCTTGTACACCATGTGGCCTGCTGGCCCTCCGGGGTTGCAGGCTTGAGCCACCGCTTGCAGCTCCCAAAGTCTGGGTTCTGTGCACCAAACCACACACCGTGATGGGCCCGAGTGGTCTCACACCACTCCCAGGGGCAGGTCTCCACGCACTGTCCCTGTGTGCCATCAACAGCCCGAGC